TATATAAAAAAGAAATTTTAACTTGTTGATTACTTTATAATTTATATTTTATTCTTGTTTTGTTATTTTAAATCCTAAATTCATTAATTTATTAAAAATGAACACTATATAAATGTATTTCTTATTTGATTTTGTAAATACATATTCCATATAAAAATATGCTTTATCTTGTGAGTTAAAACATTACAGTATACTACAGAGAAATTTTTTTAAGGGGATCAAAGCACACATATTTTTCATATGTTTTAGATCAATAAGCGGTGGTAAATTACACATACTTCGGAATGTGCAATTAAAATTTTTAATATATGTATGTATTTCTTTCTAAAATATCTAGGATTTTTAGGAAGTCGATTTTCAACTTTCAATTTAAAAGTACCTTAAAATTAAGATATTTTTTTCAACACTCCCATGAAATAATTGTCTTATACATATATGTATTTATGCTGGGCAAATTAAGAAAATGATTAATAAAGTGCAAAGTCAACTATTTTTTTTTTGCAATTTCAATAAAATTCCAGGAAGAATGGTGAATTTATATTATATATCTATACACAAAACTGTAAAAAAAAATAGTTGAATTTTTACTTAAATTCTTCTTCCCCATTTCATAACTCTGGCTACCCCACTAGTTGCACTACACTAATGTTCATTTACTACTCACACATATACAGAGTTTAAAGTGGGAAAAAATTCTAGAAGGGACTAATGTCTCCATATAGTTTTAAGCATTCCATATATAATTTTATGTGTTATGTCTAATGTATAAAATCCTAATTTGTTAAAGGGGACGGCTTTTAACCGTCGTCAGAGGTAGAGGGACTGAGTCCTCCTGCGCCCCCCACTTTAACCCCTGCACATAGACATAGCCTCAATGTACATGTCGTATTAATTGATTAATTATTACTCCTTGAAACATAATACCAGTCCCCCTAATTGAATACAGATAATCCAAATGTAGCTCAGAACAATTTGAGAGTTTACAATTTTGTATACCTAGGTATTAATTATATTGTTTATTCATCCTCGAAATTGGTTAAGTAAACTAGGTGGGGATTTGAGCCGTGAAGTCATAACTAATGAAAATGATAATTATAAAATAATATATCATAAAACCGAAAAATATCAAATAATTGGGTAGCTATGTGAGGTATGAAGGGTTCTTGGCAAAGGACTTTGGTGATTGGAATATGGGATTGTTATACATGCGTAGGTACAGAGTGGTTTAAAATACGGCATGCAAATTGGAGTGGGTATAGTTGTTGGCCTTACTTTTTAAGCTCAAACCTACCTGATCCATTTTACTCAAATATATGTATGGTATGGGGAAATGATCAATTCTTAGGAAATATATTTAATTTTATACCGGTTTAGTGCGAATTGTAAAATGTAAAAATATTCGGCACGGATAATAAGCCCAGAATATGTATGGCTATGCGCGAACGACCAGCCCGACCTATTCAAGGCTTTAGTAGAGAGTAGGAACACGAAAATTAACCTCCGCTAAGTTGGAGAATATGGAGCCATTTATTTTACTTTTTTTGCTGGGGGGGGGGGAGGGGCAACCATAGACCTTATACTTATACGGTTGGTATAATAATATTAAAAGGTCTATGTAGGTAACGCAGGTTATAAGATCGTGTTTTAAGATCAACCAGAGATTTGAGACCCAAATTATTCATATTGGAATTGGAGTATAGGTACCTCATCATGGTTAAAGCTAAAAAAAATCCACTTTACGCCCTCTAATCTGTGAATATTGACCACAGTTTTTGGGTCCCATACTTTCATGTGGACATATGGCTGAGCAGTAGCTAGCCAGTGAGTAGTGTTCACTATTCGAGGAGGAATGGACAACAGACCAGTACTTTTGGGAGATTGTAAACTCGGCCCGAGGAAAAAACATTTTCAAAAGGTCGATGGTAAACTCGGCCCGGGTTTTTTTCATGTAAAAATTATTTAGATGTAAAAACCATGATTTTTCTTATAATATTTTTGAGAAACATTTCGCATTAACCAGAGGACACTACGAGGAGGCGGTTCTCATTATCCTCCAAAAATTATTTTCATTTTCATATTATTATTCATAGTATGAAATTCGTTATTTAAATGAAAAATGTAATTAAAATGTTATGATATTGATAATAAAATAATAATAAATGTATTTATATAAATGTATAAGTGTAAAAATGTGTAAAAATATAATAAAAAATAAATAAGTAAAATTGTAGTGTAAATAATGAGTGAAAAATTTTAGTATAATAATATATAAATCTAGTTTTTTTAAGTAAAAAGCCATGTATTTTACATATTCACTCACTGATATATCTTTATTTTTATATTTTGTAAGTGTTCTTTCTAAGAGTTCTTTTTTTTTTTAGTTTTTATATTTTGAAATTTAAATGGTGCATCTAGGCTGTTGATTTTAATGTACGTTTCTGTTTGTACTTCTTTTAATTTTGAAATGACGGAATATATATTGGGGTGAGTGGAATTAAAACTTGAATTAAAATGCGCATGAAATGATTCACATGCATTTGTTGTTAAATACGTTTCAGCTGATGCACTGGCCCACATTTCAGGCGGAAACATAGAATCTTCTCCTATGTATGTTTTCGGGCCGAGTTTACAATCGATTTATTTTACTACCTGAAATTTCCGGGCCGAGTTTACAATCTACCTATTTTTATTACCTAAAATTTTCGGGCCGAGTTTACAACAAAAAAGGTAACTTCGGGCCCAGTTTACATTTGTTTTAGTAAATGAAACAGCCAAGGACTAACCCGCAGAGACAAATCTCCTGGTAGGTCAAAAATGAGTTTGACAAATCGCAAATAAGTAATAACCCAATTACCAAGGTGCAGGCACCTCACAAGAATTTTTCAACTACGATACTGTAAATAACTCCGGCCCTTCACTGTATGTTATTACTTATTACCAAGTATATTTTATAACAATTTTCATGTAAAATCTAACATTTAACTTTTTTTACAAAATGTACCTAAAATATTGGTTACACAGCTTCTTTTGCTCCTAAATCCCAGCTCAGTATAGAAAATATGAGTTACAACGTATACCTACTGATTAGTACTTAAGTTTGAATACGAATAGGTAGGTACCTACTGCCCAATAAAATATATTTGTATAAATTAATAAGATAATTTATATTATTTTCGACCCTAAAAAATAGCAACAGTAGGGCAGGCGGCAGCCAGCAGCCGGCAGACATCGACATTCAACTTAACTGTCAATGGCGGGGGACTAGTTCATTGCTCGTATGGTCCCGGATTTTTTTCCTTTCATTTTTTCCCAGCTACTTTTCCAAAAATGATCGAGCTGCAAGCCTCGCCCACCTACCAATGCCAAGTGGACAGATTTTATGAAGAAAAATTAATATAGGTACTCACATAGATTATTACATAGGTAGATTGTATATTGTATTATATAGATATGGTGACTGAGGTGGCACGACCATTGACCTATAAATTTGCCCTACTCATTTTTAAATTAATAATATGTTTACATATTAAATATAGGTACAAGGTTTTTTTTCCGGGCCCCGGGACCATAGAACTCACTAACCCATTCCTCTTTGTAGAGACCCTGCCTAGGATAATCCAGTCCAAAACAATAGAATATACCTATTAATGTAAAATAGTGGGGGAGAGCATGACAATATATTAGGCTTTAGAATTCATGATATATATTTATGTATATTCTAAATATTTTCATTTAAGACTGCTCACAACTCGTTCAATAATTGAAACAGGAATTTTAAAAATACAATGGAAGAAAACGGATAATAAGTGTGATAATAATCAGCCAATATTAATTCTATTAGGTACAAGTTTTATTTTATCATAATTCGGTGATTAGGGGTAAAAAACAGCGTTATAACTTATAGTAAACTTCTGGAGGGATATTCTATTTCTATTAATAATTATCCCCTCGTAATTAAACCGCTAGAGGAGGACGTGATGTGGCCTGTGGGCTGTGTTGTGTACATTGTATTGTACATTTAAATAATAATAATAATTAAAAGTTATACAGTATACTGCAGTCATAATATTAATTATTATATTACTTACACAAAATAGTCATTTATTTTTCATCGGAATCGTACAAATAACGTGCGTAAAAAATATATAATATAATAAACTTTATTCGATCGGGACTTTGAGGTAATGTTTTCAGGTAATTAAGAACTATTATTGGAACCTGCTGTATTTTGGGTCATAATGTATTATTATAGATCCAGAGTTCTGAGCAGAGCAAGATCTATAAATAAATAAATAATAATATAGAGTTGGCTAGTTTGATCTAGATTCCAGAGAAAGGTCCACAATATTCCAATTCCTATTAAGTATTCAAGTATAAATAATTAATAATTATTAGTTTTGTAATTGTATTTGATATTTTTTAGTTTCTAAAAAGTTAAAGGTACCTATTACCTATGAAATATATTATAATTATTATTTATTTATTTATTACTTTTTAATTTATAATAATGTCGTGGTTCCGATTGTAGGCATTGTGCATATTGTCACAATATTGTCAATATTGTGTGCGTCGTATAATCGCAGTTCTGTTTGGAATGTCTTTGAGTTTCCGACCTCCGTGAGTAACATATGATTTACTGTTTACCAAACAAAAATACAATGGGATATTATCAGTATGGACGATAGTATACTACTACATTACTGCTAGAAGTAGTGTAGTAACTAGCAAGCAATGTGATATAACAAATTTCACCATTATTAGACTGACTACTTGAGTGTTCATATTTTGTGATGCAGGTACATATTTGTGAACATTGTAATTGTTTTTAAATTGTTTGTGGATTTGCGATCGTACCGTCATAATACCATATCAATTATCATAAATATATAATTAATCGAATTATCCTACAGTTTTTTTGGTTGAATACGAAGAGTATTAATGAGATAACAAATTTGAAATTTAAAAATAGGTATTGCATATTAAATGAAAATGATGTAATTATGATGGAGCAGAGAGAATTTGACGAGGCTGTTATGCCAAGTGCTATAGATGATGACGAAGATGTGTTCAAAGACTTGTTAAATGTACCGGCCGATTGGTCGGCAAACGATTGTTTGGCTACCGGTATTTTCAATTCATTTGATCCCAACGAAGTGGTATATCGGGCCCAAAAGAAACCATGTAAAACGGTTGGTAAATATGTAATGGGCGATTTATTAGGCGAAGGTAGTTATGGTAAAGTTAAAGAAGTACTCGACTCCGAAACGCTTGTTCGCTGCGCAGCTAAAATATTAAAAAAGAAAAAACTCAAACGAATACCTAATGGAGAAAAAAATGTGCTCAAGTAATAAAATAATTTTTATACATAGATAACTAGTATTAATAATCTCTTAAAATATCTCAACTTTTCTGCTTATTTTTGAGATGTGATACCTGTATGCTTGTCTCTGTTCTACAAGGCTACAAATGTATTTAACAAACAGCAAATTTAATATCAGCAGTACTAATTTTGTTTGGTTAGCATTAATATTATCAAAGTTAAAATTAAGAACATCATCTATACTTGTACGTTGGTTTTTTTTAATACTTTAAGTTTTTAGCAAGTTATGTGTACTATTTTATTTTAAGTAAACAATTTAAAAATTAAAACCAATGGATAAACATGGATAATATTCTTACTTTAAAGTTTCATATTAGGTCGACTCACTTTAATATTAAAACTAATAACATAAAATTAGCTCTCTTTAATGTGAATTTGGTAGGTTTGTTGTGTGTTGGTAAGATTGAGACAGCATAAGTGTGTATTGCATTCTCTGAAATCTTAAGTAACGAGTTAACTAATAACTGAACTATTGTGGTAGATCCATAGGCATTATCTCGAGTAAATTCTGAGGGGGGAACTATCTGTGGTAAGACTAAAAATCTATATGGTAAAAATAAATTATTGCCCCCTCAGATAAATATCTTTTTATTTTCCCCCTCCCCTTGCATTGCTCAGATTAGGCCTATGGATAGTAAATTTACTATAGTAGGTAAAATGTTAAGAACTTCATAGTAATTAAACTTTTAATACATTTTGTTTTTTAGTGTGGTAACATTTTATAATATCTATCATTTGCTGCTATAGGTTCTTAATTTTATATCATATGAGTTGTCAGTAGTTGTTTTTAAAGTATGAATAAATGTTGCCCATAATATGTAAACAGTTACATTGACATCTTTTATTTTTTAACCATTGTAGTAATTATACATTTTAGCTATTACTTCAGATGCACTGTTATAGAAAATAAAAATTCCTTTACAGGAGAGGGGGTGTTTTGAGTATTGAAACACCCCCCTCACCTTTGCCTGTATTTATGCAAAAAATATCTGTACTATAAAAAATACTACTATATGATATTATTCAGATTTCCACAAAATATGTTATCATATGATTCTATTTCATGTTTGATATTATTAATAATAAGATGATGACTAAAATGGTATAAAGCCCCACGTGTTATGTTTAATATCAAATTAACTCCCCTCTCCCCTTTAAAAAAAAAAAATGTTGGTTATGTGCCTGTTCTTTTGGCTTGGATATTTTTATTCTGTAGAAACGTAAAATATTTTTTAACTAATTTCTTTTTGAACTGCTGACATTAAAAATATGTTATAAATACTATATAATATTATTAAGTGTTATAGGATAAAATTTATTCAATAGATTTTGAATACATGTGTTGAATATTCAACTATATTCCACTTGTAAGTAATACCTATCATTTGTTATTATTATTACTTTTTATAGTGAAATTCAACTTCTAAAAACATTGAGACATTTAAATGTCATAGAGTTAGTAGATGTGATAGTGAATGAAGAAAAAGAAAAGATGTATCTTCTTTTGGAATATTGTGTCGGTGGTCTTCAAGATATGCTAGAACACTCTCCAGGAAGTAAATTTCCATGCTGGCAAGCCCATAAGTATGTATTTTAATAATTATTTAGTTAAAAGTAGGTAGTGTTATGAAGATTAATTTATGTTGTTTAACATTCTTTGATATTAGTTACTTCAGTCAGTTAATAAATGGACTAGACTATTTACACAGCCGTGGAATAATTCATAAAGATATCAAACCAGGGAATTTATTGCTCACACTTGATGAAACACTTAAGATATCAGACTTTGGAACTGCTGAAGTATGTTGAAAATATAATAATTAATTGTAAAATATTCATCTATATTAAAATATGTTTATCATAATTTTTAGGCACTGTCGCCCTTTGATCCAGAAGGTATCTGTGCATCTAGTCAAGGCTCACCAGCATTTCAACCGCCTGAAATAGCAAATGGGGCTGATGAGTACTCTGGCTTTAAAATAGATATTTGGAGCAGTGGGGTTACATTGTATGAATGTCAATGAATTATTTAAAAATTTGTATAATAAGATAAAAATCACAATTTTTGTAATTTGTTTTAAGGTATAACTTAGTTACCGGAGAGTATCCATTTGAAGGTGATAATGTGTATAGATTATTTGAAGCGATTGGGAAATGTAATATACAAATTCCAGGCTTTGTGACCGAACCTTTGAGATCTTTGCTAGTTGGAATGCTTAAAAAAGACCCAAAGAAGCGATTTACCTTAAGAACGATACAAACACATCCGTAAGTTAACAATTTTAGATAAACAATGGATATTTCTAAAATAAATAAATAAATAGTGTGCTTCTTTAATCCATAACTAACTAATCAAATTCTCTGGATATGAGTAAATATATCTTTATTTATTAGGTTTAACTAATCCATTCATAAATATTCCTAATTCTTTTTTTGTCCATGTAAATCAGAAATATTTGTACTTATATAATTACAATTTCTATTAATCAATAAAAACTATTGCAAACAATTTTAAAATACTTTTAAAAAGTTAACATCTGTACCTATGTATATCACTTATTTATTTATTTATTTGTATTAAAGTTTGCCTGACATTATGTCATCTAAACTTATTGTTAGTAGAATTTGTAAACTTATTAATATAAATACATTTTTTTTATTGTATAAACCGTTAAAAAACAAATTTTAATACAACTTCTCTTCATTATTATGATACCAAAACCATGTTTCTACGACCAACTGAATCTACTGGATAGTTTGTGGTTCCTTTTGTCAAGTTACCATTTAAATATAATATTTATCATATGGGTATTAAAAGTTTCAAATGGGTGTACTTTTTATGTATGGATTTAAATAAATATTGTTGCCTTGAATATTATTTATAATTACTATATTACAAAAATTGTATACAACTTCAAAGTTATATCTAATTTATAAAATAATACCCTTTTTTCACACTTCATTATCATTATGTTTAAAATGAATATATATTTTCATATTTATTCTTATTTGTTTTTTACTGTTTAGGTGGTTTGTTTGTAGACATCCAAGAACATCTGAAAAGGTACCTTTTCCTCCTTTGCGTGGTGATTTTATGCATAACATGACTGTATTGCCATACCTATTTAACTATCATTCATGTGAAACGCCTTCAGATAACGAAGAAGAATATATAACAGAACAATTAATTAAAGGTAATAAATCTTATATATATTTTATTGCTAAAAAAATCAAATTTTACCGAGTTTTATTAATCTCAATCCAGATCGACCAAATGGGAGTGCATCAGTTCCCATTGATGATGTTAATGATCCATCTAAACGACCGTGGCACAAGCCAATCATGTGTAATGTTAAAAAAATGGCCTCATGTCGATTGTCATGACATTTGTCACTCAATATAGTACTGCATCTTTCATATTGTTTTATATTATAACCATTATTGGTTGAGAAGATTTAATTATTTTTCGAGGTACACGTGAATTGGTTGTTTTCTCTTTTATAGAATCAAGTCAAGTATTTGTGTAACATATATAATTTCACAGTAACAATGAAATTATCCATGTTAAACTACTTATTAATATAAACTATTGACCTAATTATTTTTTGAATTGTATTGATTATTTAAAGTTTAATAACAATGGAAACCGCAACATTTTTAATTAGTGTATATGTTTTGTAAAATTATAAGTACTGCGGGAAAGACTGCTAGACTTGATGTACTAAAAAGAAAAACTAATGCTCACATACCTTAAATGTTTTGTTTATTCATTATTTACTTTTATATATATATATAATATGCAAAAAAAAATATTTCATATTAAATACATTTTGTTTGCTTTTTTAAGTTTATTTATATACAAATATTATATTATTCTTTATATATATAAAAAAAAACACAATAAATCAGAATATAATTAAAGACAAGTTTCTTGGTGTTGTAGTATTTGAAATGAATAAAGTAGTTTGATGTTTAGTTGTCCAAGCAGATTATAGTAAGTACCTAAAATCTTTTGTTACACTGTTTAATTTCTATTTTTTATAATATACATTATTGTATTATTAAAATTTTGTGACCGCAATGTGGCATGATTCTGTAACACTGAAATATATATAAATATGTATTATGTTTATTATATTATTGTAGTGGTTCAACCACGGACTATTCTAAAAATTCTATGTTACATTCAGATATAAGTGTTTAATATTTTGACTATTAACCAGCCCTGCCATAAGTCATAATCCCAGAGAAGTTTTCAACTACTCATTGTTTCTATTACATGATTTACAAATTATTTATTACTTACTTTCATGGATCAATACCTGATCACAAATTAATATAATAACAAAGAATAATCTATGATAATAACTGTTAATTAATGATAAAATTTGATTATGTAAAATGTGTGATGATTGAAGGCAATACCATATTGTTTTTGATAAATTTATTAGGTATAAATGTATTTAGTCTTATAGGTCTAACAGCTTTAATCAGATTTATGTTATCTAATGACAATAACACATTTAAGTGGCTTGGCATGACGCGTTGGCTGCTAACAGTTGCGGAATGTGATTGGGAGTAAGTAACGGCCACAGCTACTAACTTCCGGATGGGTGACCACCCGGGTTCATAGTAGTTAAAACCTTGCCACACATACACTTGTTTGCTACCCAACGTATCAACTGTAACAATCGTAAAAAAACAGCCTACCATACCTTACCCCTACCACAGCTTTATGGCCTTCATCGCTGGGCTTAAGTTCAATAAAAAAAAAAAACATTTAAATTAACGATATTAATTGAATCCTGTGTTCACTTAAAATATAATTTAATAAAAATATGAAATAGGTATTTTAGCTTATGAAATATTTATTCTGTCATTCTATTCATCTGTCTTATCAGGACTTCCAACTCAATTTTTAACGATAAACATCAAATATCAAATAAATTGAAAATTAAACAACTATAAAAAACATTTTCATTTTAATATATATTTATATAATTATATACGATTACCATCAAAAGAAAGTCGACTAAGAATATAGCCTATAGATACTAAAACTAAATCCCTATTAGCACTAAACCAGAATATGATTTTATATTTTTTTGTTAGGTTGTTTTCAAAGTCGTCATTAGGACTTAAGGTCCAAACACGAATACAAATTTGCTGTCCTTAACTGTAGTCTCTACTTGTTTGTACAAGTATAATTAGTTAGTTTATATCAACAAAATTAATTTAATTTGACCCTTTTTAGTGCATTTATCGACATGAAAAAGAGAAACAGCAAATCTAAATCATACCTTCTTACAATAACATAATAATAATATTGTATTGTCATTTTAATGTCTCAGCACCGATTGAATTGACCTATTATCAAATTTAAAGAAAAATGTATTTTTCTGGTTGTTTTATACTATTCTATACATTTGTGTAATTATTACCTTGGGGGCTAGGTAAGTATATACACAATATAGATTTCAAATCCTGATCTTCATTTATATTTTTGAGTTCATTTTTTTTTTGTGTGCTTCTCGACTTCTTCGTACAAGTTAGGGAATGCTAAAATAATTGATGTTCTAAATATTCTTGACCAATCATACTGTAGGCAATTTAATTTAAAACATAACTTATAACTTGAATTAATAAAATATAGTATGAGTGGAAAAGGTAAATAAAAAAGAGGTACAAATTGTTTTGAGTACCTATACATTTAATTTAAGACACATATAACAAGTTTGTATTTTCATTTTGACTTATTTTTCTAACACGTAGGTGCCTAATTATAAAACATAAAATCAGGAAAATTATCTAATGTCAATATTTTTTTCGATGGTCTTATAGTTCGTTGTGGCTTATGGTTTCTGAAGGGTTAACGGCTGCAGGAAACTCGGTTAGCGGCAACGTGCTCCAGAATTTATAGTTGCCGGGATCTGAGTATTCTTGTGGTTCAATTGTTTGGTTCTGTGTGATCTTAATCAAATTTAATGGATCTGCAGGGTTTTTCGACACTGGTAACCAAATTGCAGAGTTTCCTACGTCTGGAACTCTGAAACATAATATGTAGACGTGTGGGTACATTATGTACAAACAGGTATTTAGTACGTTATTATACATATATTATGTAGGTGTATAGATCAATAAATTGCAGAAATAAAAACTTGTAACCATCAACGTTTACTCAAAAATTTAAAATTTAAGTTAAACAATATATTTAGGTTTTTTTAATTTAGTTTGTCTTGACTCTTGGCCAGTTAGTTACCTTAACAAATATGAAATGTCAGCAATCGGTATTTTTAAAATAACTTCTAAATTAGCCATTAATGTGGAATTGAATAATGATTCATCCCTTGGAGTATGCTTACGTCAAGGTTTCAGAATTATCCATTCCAAGTAATAAAATATTTTTGAATCTGTTTCAAATTGCCTGGCAATATATTAGTTATTTTCCAGTTAAAAAAAAAAATATTCAAACTATGAATGACTGCGGAACACGTTAAGGCTTGAAAGGCGTCAGTATACAAATATGGCTGGTACCGAATTGGTTCACGACTTCACGAGCCTCTACCTCACATGCCGAAGTAGTTCCCGCTTATGAAGTTATGAAAGCTGTACTATATCTAAGATGAGTTGAATTGGTTCCCGTTTCTGTTCAGGTCAAATAGTTTCAATTTTAATTCTTAGTCATTTTTTTTTTTGTATTATGAAATCATATAAAGAATTTACTAGATTATCATCCTAATATTTGTTTATTTTATGGAGACTTTGAACAGTATTTACAAATTGAATTTCACAATAGTAAATACAAGGAAATTTACCACCTAACAAAAAAACAACAAATACTTGGAAAAGTGTAACACTAACTATATACCCAATGGAAAACGTACACGATTAGAATATTTGATGAAAGTAAATTTGTAAGATCAGTTTAACCTAACGGCTGGGTCCCAACCTATCAGCTTAACAATTAAAAATTAAAAATTATTATATTCTTCATATACCTACTTAAGTTATGACTGGTTGACTTCTCGACCAGTAGTGGGATCGTCCTAAATTTAAAAGACATCACATTCGGAAAACCTTAATAAAATACCTTTTTCAAACTGGAACCAATACAGCTACTCCTAATAATATTGTGCTACCTCATAAAAAACTATAGGCAGTGGTGTAGCTATTTTTGGGAGTTTAACTCCTCCATTGTCATGTTCCCCCCTAATACATTTATTATTTATATTATTTATACACGAAAACTGTAAAAATGTAGTTGAATTTATACTTACCTCTCCCCCTTCAGAATCCTGTCTATATCTCACTGTAGATATAAGTACCTAATATAAATAATAAACTTACCCGGTTTTGGCAAATGATGACCACATGTTCACCATGACTGGAATCAACTTGGCGTCTTCGACGTTGTCGTGTGGATTTCCATATCGGGTTTTTATAACGTACATTGTGTCGTCACCGTGGGATACTCCTACATCGAATAAATAATTATTATACACTAGTAACGTTGGTAGATTTTATCTTAACTAGGTCCTATTTACCCATTCCTTCAGAGGATCCAGTTTTGGAATATTTGTCTGAAAGTGAGTATTTACCCCTGTAACTAAATTCATAAAAGTATACCGGCGATGTATTTATTGAAGCCAAATGCTGGGCTGCTCTACCCACCGGTTCTTTGAACAACCTGTCTGTAAGCATCTGTAATGAATAATAATTCCATAAGTTATTTAGGTATTAAGGCTTTTAGTGGCTATTAATTGAAGGGGAAAAATTTAGGCAATTTCTAATCTTGTCGGAGCCGCCCATAATCTTTGTGTTAGTCGTAAATGATTATTATTTTTGATTTTTACATAAATCGGGTTTTTATATTAACTTGTAAGTAAACTAATTTTGAGACACAGATGTATTATAAGGTCAGCCCGTCAAACTTATTAGGAGGGGTTGAAGCACGAGCTTTATTTTTCCAAAAGCCTTATTTAAATAAATACCTAACTAGTACAACCATTATGTATTATTTTAATTATTTTAATGTGTCTATCTATCTAGGTATGTAGTTATGAAATGGGCAAAATAAATAAGTGCCTCAGTGCTAATAAATTACCTATTTGCGAAACGACGTAAGTCATAAAATATCACAAATTGACATATTGAATGAAATGTGTTATCAATTGATAGACGGATCATGTGTGAACATTTGCAAACTAATATTTAATTTTACCACAGTAAATAATTGGTATGAAAGAGAAATAACCATGCATCACTGGTAGCGTAAAAACAGTTTTTTCTTGTTTTCTTAGATTTACCCTTTAATTTTCTCAAATAGGTGGTTCAAAATTTCAAATGTATTCTGGACACGCTAATGATTTATAAATTAAAATTTTTATTTTAGTAGTTATACTATCATTAATTTTTAGTTGAGCTACTTAGAATCGACGACACGTCATGTCTATGAACCGTATAAATGACCCGCATAAATCTATGATCCGTTTAAATTCTCACACATTTTAGTATATTTATTCAATAAGAATTAACATGTATTATTCTAAAATATTTAAATTGGTATATAATTATTGTTCTAGGTACCTTCGCATACATAATACAGCGAGTTCCGCCTAATGTGATCACT